AAGGAGGGGCTAAGAAGAGATAGGGGCTAAGAAGAGATTGGGAAACCTTTACTGGTGCCAGAGAAAACATCTCTGTTTGGAAACAGTTCATTTCTGGCTTCTGAAGGACCTCCACAGGGACTGGCGAAGGCTGTTTTTACCCTCCCTTAGTTTCAGGAAAGCCTCCGGAGTCTGGGGAGGGTAAAAATGACCTCCCTTGGCCCCTAGAGGGCCTCCGGAATCTGGAAATGAATCTTTTCCAAAGTTCCAATAGGCCCATTGGGCCTGGTTTTTGCCTTCCCCAGGCTCCAGAGGCTTTCATGGAGCCTGGGGAGGGCAAAAACAGCCTCCCCCAGCCCCCAAAAGGAAATAAAAAGCTCAGCTTGGGGGCAAGCAGTGTGGCGTGTGTGAGCGGGAGTGGGGGGGTTGTACATGAGGGCCCATGAGGCGGAGTGCTTTGCATTTTGAGTGCCAGAACATGTGCTTGGTATTGCGCTCGCACTCATATTTTTGGCACTCAACAACAAAAAGTTTAGCCATCACTGTCCTAGACATAGGACATATGACATGTCCTGAGATAGAGTGATGTTGAGCCCCTGGTGAATGGAATTTGGACTTGAAAGGGTTTTTCAGGCCGTTCAGGATTTATCTGTTTTCTGTTTTGTTTTGTTATTTTTTTTTAAATAATAAATGATGCAGAATCAAAAGGAAATAGTTGGCCTAAAATTGTATGAATATATTTCTTTTAGTTTCTCAATGTAAAGAATCTAATTTTGGGTTTTCTCAGATACAGAGAAATGCACTACGTGTCCAGATTATAAATATCCAAATGAGAATCGAATCCAATGTATCTTCAAAAGAATAACCTTCCTGTCTTATGAAGAACACCTGGGCATCATCCTCATATCCTTTGTCCTACTCTTGTTCCTAACCACAGTCCTTGTCCTAATTATTTTCATTAAGTACCGAGAAACCCCCATTGTCAAAGCCAACAACCGAGATCTCTCTTACATCTTCCTGGTCTCCCTCCTGCTTTGCTTCTTGTCTCCTCTTCTCTTCATTGGTCAACCACGGAAAGCCACCTGCTTTCTCC